TTCAATTGGTTAAACCCGAGGATGTGGACAAGGTGCTTGGAGGAATGAGAGCTACCACATGCATCCTAGACCCCTGCCCATCCTGGCTTCTGAAGGAGGCCAGAGGGGGATTGGCCGAGTGGGTGAAGGTGGTGGTTAATGCCTCCCTTCGGGAAGGCAAAATTCCAGCCAGCTTAAAGCAAGCTGTGATAAAACCGCTGTTGAAAAAACCATCACTGGACCCCACTCAATTCGTCAACTATTGGCCTGTTTCCAATCTCCCCTTTTTGGGCAAAGTCCTGGAACGTGTGGTGGCCTCACAACTCCAGGCATTCTTGGTAGACACGGATTATCTGGATCCGGCACAGTCTGGCTTTAGGCCGGGGCATGGTACCGAGACAGCCTTGGTCGCCTTAGTGGATGATCTGCGTCGGGAGCTCGACAGGGGGAGTGTGTCCCTGTTGGTGCTGCTTGACCTCTCAGCGGCCTTCGATACCGTCGACCACGGTATCCTTCTGGGACGCCTCGTGGGGATGGGTCTTGGAGGTACTGTTCTGCAGTGGCTCCGCTCATTCCTCGAGGGTCGGTCTCAGAAGGTGTTACTGGGAGACTCCTGTTCAACCCCACAACCTTTGTCTTGTGGGGTTCCTCAGGGTTCAATACTGTCTCCCATGTTGTTTAACATCTACATGAAGCCGCTGGGCGAGATCATCCGGAGTTTCGGAATGCGATGTCATCTGTACGCAGATGATGTCCAACTCTGTCACTCCTTTCCACCTGCTACTAAGGAGGCTGTTGAGGTCCTGAACCGGTGCTTGGCCGCTGTGACGGTCTGGATGGGGGCGAACAAATTGAAATTGAATCCAGACAAGACAGAGGTACTCCTGGTTAGTCGCAAGGCCGAACAGGGTATAGGGTTACAGCCTGTGTTAGACGGGGTCGCACTCCCCCTGAAGACGCAGGTTCGCAGTTTGGGTGTGATCCTGGACTCATCGCTGAGCCTGGAACCCCAGGTTTCGGCGGTGACCAGGGGAGCATTTGCACAGTTAAAACTTGTGCGCCAACTGCGACCGTACCTTGGGAAGTCTGACTTGGCCACGGTAGTCCACGCTCTGGTTACATCCCGTCTTGACTACTGCAACGCTCTCTATGTGGGGTTGCCTTTGAAGACGGCTCGGAAGCTCCAATTAGTCCAACGGGCGGCAGCCATGATACTAACCGGAGCGGGGCGCAGGGAGCATACAACTCCTCTGCTGTACCAGCTCCACTGGCTGCCGATTTGCTACCGGGCCCAATTCAAAGTGCTGGCTGGCCTTTAAAGCCCTAAACGGTTCTGGCCCAACTTATCTATCCGAACGTATCTCGGCCTATCATCCCACCAGGACCCTAAGATCTTCTGGGGAGGCCCTGCTCTCTATCCCGCCTGCTTCACAGGTGCGGCTGGCGGGAACGAGAGACAGGGCCTTTTCTGTGGTGGCCCCTCGGCTTTGGAATGCCCTCCCCATAGAGGTGAGATCAGCCCCTTCGCTGATGGTATTTCGAAAAAGGTTGAAGACATGGATGTTTAAACAAGCATTCGATTAATCTGGTGCAACGAAACTGATGAACAAGGATTGGTTAATCACAGACGACAAAATTGGATTGCGACTACAATTAAGAGATGCATTGGATTATTATTGGTGGCCCAATAATATTGTGTATTGTGTATGTGTTTTTATGCTTTTTAATGGAATATTGCTGCTTGTCGTTGTGTTGTAAACCGCGTTGAGTCGCCGATTTAGGCTGAGAAACGGCGGTATATAAGCACAGTAATAAATAAAATAAATATTTTAATATTTAATACAAAACAAGTGGAATATAATAATTTTTTTATTTCAAAAACGTGATTTATCAACCAAGCCTGAACTGTCCTATCACCATTATTTGCTACATTTACTCTACTGGAGGATTGTTATGTGGAAGAACATATAGCAACAGAAATTATTTGCCAGTCAAACTGCTTATATCCATAATTTACTGTCCATATTAGAAGTCCCTGGTGGTGCAGTGGGTTAAACTGCTGAGCTGCTTGATGACCAAAAGGTCGGTGGTTCGAATCCGGGGAGTGGGGTGACCTCCTACTGTTAGCCCCAGCTTCTGCCACCCTAGCAGTTTGAAAAGATGAAAATGTGAATCAATAAGTACCACTCTGGTGGGAAGGTAATGGCACTCCATGCAGTCATGCTGGCTGCATGATCTTGGAGGTGTCTATGGACAATGGCGATTACACCGGTCACATGATCTTGGAGGCATCTATGGACAATGTTGGCTCTTTGGCTTACAAATGGAAATGAGCACCACCGCCCAGAGTCACACAAGACTAGACTTAATGTCAAGAAGAAACCTTTATGTTTACTTTGCTGTATATATTTAAGACTATTTGCAGAACAGTGTTTAAACATTTCTATTTTAAAATCTTAATTTTATTAGTTTTATTAGTGTTATTTTTTGAATGTTTGAATCATTCCTACACTTATGTTACCTTAACACAAGCCTATAATGATATTTTCTTGACAATGTTGATTCAGAGGAGGTTTGCCACTACTTTACTCTGAGACTGAGAGAGTGTGAGTTGCCCAAGGTCACCCAGTGTTTTCCATGAATGAGAAGGGAATAAAACTTCATCTCCTGGAGTCTAACCCAAAAGTCAAATGACTATACCATTCCGGCCCTAAACTATTTTCAATTATTTGTGCAACATTGCTTTTTTTTGTCTTTTTCACATTGTTTTCTTGAGTATTAGCATTCCAGATAAGATGAAACCATTACATCACCTTTCAATCCCTACCAATGGTTTCCATAGGAAGGAGGCTATTCACATTGCTCCTACTATCTTTAATCATCTAGGAAAAGCTTCCTAGTTTACACAGCTCCAGTTCTTATAGATGAGGCAGACTGAAATTTACAAAGCCCAGTTTTACATAAAAAATGATAGTGGCTTTATGTACAATAATTCATATACACATCTTGTATAATCAAAAAAGCTGATCAGTGCCTTATACAACTGAAAACAATCTGTGAAGGCAGAAAGTGTAAAAACGGAAAATTGCATGACAGGCTCAATAATCATGTGGAAAATGTTTTATGCAAATTCATTGCTCTCAGCAACTTTCTCATTTTCTCTAGAAACAAATGGTCCCCAAGGACTCATCCTCATGCTTTAATTGCGGCTTCCGTGATTTCAAAGATTTGATGAAGGCTCATGAAGTTATTATATTCTATAGATAGACAGACAAACAATATCTAAGTTGAATTTATTGATAGAAGCTTGACAACAATTGAGCAATGCCTCCAAGAAAGATGAATATCAAGAACCTGCTATTTTTTAATCAAAGACTCATTTTATAAATATTACAACTGATGATTTCTATCTTCCAGCCTGGAGGAAATGTATAACAAAAATCTCTGTGTGGATTATAAAAAGTTTAAAATGCTGCCAGGTTGAAAATGTGGAAGATATCAATCTAAATTCAACTATGGTGTTTTATTTATAAAACAGAGGTGCTAGCGCATAAGTTTATTCAGTGGCCATTATTTTGTTCGCTAACCTAAGAAAATGGACACAGATTGTGGTGGTTTTCTGGAGAAGTATAATGCTTTGTGTAAATTGCATCATCCAGCAGCAAAATATGGAGGAAAGTTCTTAGGCAAATGATCACATGCATATCCGTGGGCTGGGATATAAAATGCCACAGTTTTTTTTCTTACTGCTGTAGAAGGCTTGGACTACATAAGATTAATATCCTACAGTAGCTATTCATTTGTTGTCTGATGAGATAACCTGACCTGCATGTTACATGCCACTGGAGCCACGGAAATGGGTTGCCAAATGGGCCAATGCCTCTTTATTAGACTTGTGCATTCTGGCTGAACCTCAATCCATTTTTGCAGGCCTACTTCCGGATCCATTTTCACTTGTCTCCAGAAAATGGATGGGTTGCTGAATAGCCGTTTTTGGTTTGCAGCTCAAAGATCTGGGAAGATCCAGCCCATTGGTGGGAATGGGGAAATTATATGGCTTCTCTTTGCATGCCTGGGATCCTTTCCTTTCAAGGAAGTACCCCCTGAGACTCATTCCTATCTTCCTTTCAAGGGAGCCTGAGTTTGAAGAACAAGGTTAAGGAAGCACCCCTCTTAGAACCTTTTCCTATCTTCCTTTCAAGGGAGCCTGGGTTTGAGCAATGGGGTTAAGGAAGCAGCACGTAAGACATGCCATAGTGGTCTTCTATTCTGATTGGCCCAACAGGCAGGGCTCACAGGGAAACCAGCTCTCCACATGCCGCATAGTGCAAATAGGGGACAAGGAGACATGATCACCTGCCACGTGGCCCTGTTATAGATGAAAAAAAATTATGGCTGAGCCCTTACCATTACAGCTATCTGAATAAGCTGGATTAGCTGAAGGGAACCCACCAAACCAAATCCATTCACAAGCCTACACTTTATGTTTCCCTGCCAACTGGCGGTGAGACTGAACCCCCAACCCCTGATTTGGATGACTGACATTGCCCTTACTCAACTATATTGCTGGATTTTAAATTGTATTGAAATGCTTTTAATATAAGCCCCTTTGGATCTCTTTTGTGGAAATAAATAAATGAATAAATAAATAATGTAAACTCATGAGTTTACATTTCTTTTGGACAGTGAAATAAAACATATACAATCATCTCTTGATCACATGTGTGGACTTTTTATACTTTTTCCTACACTAAAAGGAAAATAGGAAACTCTTAACCTTTTGCTCTCAGTCCACAAATAAAGCATCTTAAAGTTTAAAGCAGGGGAAGGAAAGAAATAGAGCCTGCCTGGCCCATCAAGTACTTTTTGTTGTCTTTTTTTGTTGTCACCCAAATTTAAAATAGGAACCACATGACAACATGCTAATGCTGTAAAACTTAACTAAAATAACCAACAAGTAAAATAAATATATGAATATACACTCAGTCTCAAATCATAGACTTTCCATAAAATCCACTTACTAAATGCTAACCATGTTTGCCTCAGTTGCAGGTATACCCTGAAGTCTGTTTGGAATCCTATATCATAGATAGTAAGATCAGAGCCAGGTATTCCATGAAGGTGGTGATATTCCCAGTAGCAATGCCAGATACCTATTGGGAAAAATAATACAGTCATAGAGTTATATGAGAAGGGTTATAAAAATAACTTTGTAATCAAAGGCAAGACTCACCAGCATATCACAATATAATCCAGACTACTGCTAATTCCAAGCTAAGATTTTTCTGTTCTTCCAGATTTTAAAAGACACAGTTTTAAATATGGCATGGCTTGGTTTTGGTTCCTCTTTCAGATGCTTTTTAAGGTTTTTGTAATGTATATCATGCATTGGGGTGCGAGAGTCAAAATTTGCAGTACAACAATCCAGTACATCTTCAATCTGAAGTAAACTCTAGTGCATTCTATGAGTCTTAATGTAAGAAAGTACAGATTTTTTTTAGGTGTATTTCCTTTTTTGTTGAACTACTGGTCTGATCTGGTGTAGAAAACCAATCTGGTCAAGAATACAATCAAATCTCACCCACTGAGACTTCTAAATAAAATGCTGCCGGGGTGTATCTTCGGATCATTTCTACATCCTGTTCACATCAGTCCCCAATGCTCCATAGGGGGAAAATATCAATGAACATCCATCTGCAACTCATTTCACACATAGGTTTCCTTCATGACTGATGATGTAGAACGTATAGCCTTCTAGATACTGTAGGACTTGAACTCCCATTAGATCTACATAATTGGAAATGATGGGACGGATTCAAGTTTTAGTCTCACAATGCCTGGAGGGTCATATGTTCCCATCTCTATTCTACAGTGATAGCTGTCAGGTAAAAGTGTGCAAATGCTATCACCACTGAGGATATAAATCAGAATGGCCAAACCATTTGCAGCTTTTTAACTTACTCATGCAATGAAAAAAGATAATGTGTGATTGTCACAATTAATTATCACAATTCAGCTTCCACACTTCTTCCTTGCTTGAAAACACCAACCATGTGTGTCTTTCTCTGTGTTTGTTTGCATCTGCACTCATGCCTAAAAGAAGCTGTTTTTCTTTCAATAGGCCATAAGATGAGATAAACCTTGCTTTATATTTTGGATTCTTAGGGCACAGAACAAAGTAATGATGAAAAACCCACCAGCTTATAGAAAACAGATAAACAAAGGAAAAATGTCTGTTTAAACCTGCAGCCTCCGATAAAATCCCCAGCAAAAGCTTGATGCTGATATTAGTCTTCTAGACAAAGAAAGAACTTCAGCTGCACAGGAGGTTGAAAGCATTTCAAGATATGGATGTTGGTTTTGTCATAGTAACTAACAGAAAAGATGCTGCTACCCTGATGAATGAAGAAAAAGATAAATATGCCTTGCACTGATAGAATATTCAAAGCAAGAGAATGATGAAGTAAATAGTGCTGCTCAATTAGGATGCATTTTTTTCGTGTCAGGAGTGACTTGAGAAACTGCAAATCACTTCTGGTGTGAGAGAATTGGTCGCCTCCAAGGACATTGCCCAGGGGACGCCCAGGTGTTTTACCATCCTGTGGGAGGCTTCTCTCATGTCCTCACATCAGAAACTGAAGCTGACAGATGGGAGCTCACCCCGCTCCCCAGATTCGAACCACCGACCTTTTGGTCAGTAGTAATGCTGGCACAAGGGTTTAACCCACTGCACCACCGGGAGCTCAATGTTGTAATATAAGTATGGTAAAATGCTAATACATCACAGAATTGTTCAATACCTATTTTACTTCACTCCCAAAAAGAGACTTTTGCAAGGAATCCAGGAAGTTAGTTAGGAATCACAGAGCTAATCTAAATGAGTTCAAATTGTCAGGTTCTGAAGTACTGCATCCCATAGTATTGAAGACTCTTGCTGACATACTCAGAGAACCACTTACCATCATTTCTGTGAAATCTTAGAGAACGGATTACATGCCAAAGGACTAGAGAAGAGCAAACATTGTCCCTCTATTCAAAAAAAGGCAAAAAATGAAAATCTGAGAAACTAGAGACTAGTCAGCCTGACCTCAATATCCGGAAAAATTTAAAAAGGATGATACAGGCCTGTGTTTGCAAATATCTTGATGATAATACAATGATTAGGAACCTGCATAGGTTTATCAAGAAAAAGTCCTGCCAAACTAATCTTGTATCTTCTTTTGATCAGGTTGCTAGTTTAGCAGATGGTGGGAATGCTATGGATATATTACTGATTAGTAAACTGACTAATTATGGAACAGATGAAAACACTACCTGATGAATTTTCAATTAATTGAAAGATACTGCTCAAAGAGGTTATATCAGAGGCTGTGCTTCAAACTGGAAGGAGATCTCAAGTCAAGTGCCACGGGATTCTGTGCTTGGGCTGATAATCTTCAATATTTTTCTATCAAATGATTTCAATGATGGGATGGAGGGAATCCTTACCGAATTTGCGGATCATGTAAAATGAGGGCGGAGTAGCTAACACAGTGGAAGACAAGGACAGAATTCAAAAGTACTGTGATAAAATAAAAAACTTGGCTAAGGAACCAAATGAAATACAACAGAAACAAAAGCAAAATGCTACATTTAGGCCACAAAAATCAAATGCACAGGTATAGGATGGGGGATACTTGACTCCATAGTACTAAATGTGGAAAATACCCTAGAAATATTGTTGATCATAAATTGAGATAAGCCAGCTGTGTGATGCTGAAGCTAAGATGGCAAATGCTGGTTTGTATTGTATTTGTTGTCAGCATCCCATTCAAGCACTAACTAGGGCTGACCCTTCTTACTTTCCAAGATCAGACCTTCTTTACATATAATCCAGAATATCCAGGTAAATAATCCACACTATCTGCTTTGAATTGGATTATCTGAGTCTACACTGCAATATAATCCAGTTCAAAGCAGATAATGTGGATTTTATACAGCTGTGTAGAAGGTGCCTGAGTCCAACTATTGTGAATTTAATTTGTATTGCGTGCTTATCTTATATCACTGTTTATTTTTTTATCTTTATCATATTTTATTGATGTATTGTGTTATGTTGTATATTTGTTTTGATGTAATTGTTGGGCTTGGCCTCATGTAAGCCACCCCAAGACCCCTTGGGGAGATGGTGGCAGGGTATAAATAATTTATTATTATTATTATTATTATTATTATTATTATTATTATTATTGGGAAATGTATTAAGCTCTAAATGTTATGTTAGCCTGTGTTTATTCAACCATAGTCTCCAAGTCAAGGGAAGCAATAATCCTATATTCTACGCATCTGGAATACTGTGTTCAGTTGTGGGAATTTCCTTTTAAGAAGGATATCAACAAGTTGGAGCAATTTTAGGGAAAAACAATGAGGATGATTAGAGATATAGAGAACAAAACATATCAAGAGAGGTTTAAGGAGCTGAGTATGTTCAGCTTGGTGAAGACAAGACTGAGGGGTGACATGATCCCATTTTTAAATACCTCAAAGGCTGCCAAAAAGAGGGTAGTGCAGACTTATTTTCTGCTGCCTTGGAAAGTAAAACCAGGTCTATATTAGGATAGATTTCAGCTCAACTGTAAGAGGCTTTGTAATGGAACCAACTGCCTAGAGAGGTAGCTGTGTCTCCTTCTCTATGTCTTCAAAGAGGCCAGATAGCTACCTTCTCTCGGTGCTTTAGGTGAGGATATTGCATTGAGCAGGGGGCTTGACTCCATGCCCATGGGATTCCTCCCCACTCTCCGATACTATGATTCTGGACAGTTATTTTCACTAGCAAGCATACACTTTGACTGTAAAAAGCTCTGCACATACACTTTGGAATTTAAAAATACTTCTGTTCCACTGAATTAAGAAGACAAATGGATCCATTAGCATTAAGTTTAGAACTGGCAGAGCTAGTGGGCCAATAGGGACAGATGGTATAGCACAGAATTCTTAATCAATATTATCTGGTGTCTCTTCAGATCCTATACTCTAAGGGTTATAGATAATGGCATACAGCACTGTGAAAAAAAGGAAATATTTTTCACTTACCATATCCTATAATCCCAATTACACCAAAGATGAAAATCCAGAAGAGAATCCCTGCGATGAATCTCAAAAGCACAAGGAAGAGCAAGCTGACAACCATTGCAATAAATAAACCTCTGGAAAACAAGGGAAAAAGCTAATTAAAACAGCAGCCTATTGTCAATGTATTGTCGAAGGCTTTCATGGTGGGAATCACTGGGTTGTTGTAGGTTTTTTCGGGCTGTATGGCCATGGTCTAGAGGCATTCTCTCCTGACGTTTTGCCTGCATCTATGGCAAGCATCCTCAGAGGTAGTGAGGATGCTTGCCATAGATGCAGGTGAAACGTCAGGAGAGAATGCCTCTAGACCATGGCCATACAGCCCAAAAAAAAACCTACAACAACCCAGCCTATTGTCAGTTCCATGATCCATCCTCTTACCAAAAATAATTCACCAGCAAGGAGATGTTTTGAGGGAAGTGTTTATTCCAATCAGAGAGATATTTCAAAATTAGATGGCAAAATAACCATTGTCCTACAACCAGAGCAACTACTTTATTTATAGGGTCTATAGTCAAGTAGTGAAGCAAAATCCACGTTTAAAGTTTCTACGCTTTGATATGAATAGGGAACTAAATAGTGACGTTTATGGAAGGAAGAAGTTTTGTTTATCATGGTAAGTATGTTCATTTCCAGCAGCATGGAATTTTATTCATTTTTCTAAATATGGTATCCATTGTCATCAAATCCTTGGGTGCTATAATGATAGGATAATTAAGGAGTGGTTCTTCCAATACAACTAATGCAGAAGAGCTATAACAAAACATCAAAATGAATGTATAGAATGACTGGATGTACCAGAAGAATCTTTCCCTTCATATTCATTCTGTTCATTTTATGTTATTACAATTTTGCATGTGGGAGATGTGACCATCTCTGAATAACAACTTACATTAAAATCCAATACCAAGAGCTGGCATAGTCTTCAAAAATTTTCATCCCAACTGATCTTGCATCGAGAACATTATTGATGCCACTTTAAAAAGAAAGGGCAAGACATTTTAAGTTCATGTAGAATACATTCATTATTTAAATAAAGCAGCCTAAGGGTTCAATATAATAGCAAAATAAAAGTTATATCACAAAATATTTCCAAAACAGAGCTCTGTTTGTAACATTTTGTCTACTAGTAAAATTGAACACAATGTGTTCTTGCGAGTAATAAGATGCTATTATGATACTGCAGATCTGGATTGTACCCAAAACAAGACAACTACAAGAAAAAAATAAATTGCATAGAAATTTGAGAGATTTAGGTTTCCCCAAAAGCAACAATTGTGAATGCAATAGGATTTACTTCTAGGGAGACATGAGAGAGTGTGATATAGTGGTTTGAGTGTTGACTAGGACACTGGGAGGCCAGGGTTCACATTCCCTCTGCTCAGCTTTGGAAACCACTGGCTGACCTTGGGCATCTCACTCTCTTTCAGGCAATGGCAACCCCCCCCCCCCCCCGGAACAAATTTTGACAAGAAAACCCTGTGATAGGTTTGCTTCAGGGTCTCCATAAGTCGGAGAAACATGCAGAGATTCTGATCTGTTGACATGGCTCGGTTAACAAAGCCTCTGACAAAGAAGTTCTTTTTAATGAAGTCTTTTTATGATTGCCCAGCACTACCTTGTCCTCTGTCTGTCTGGAAGACATTTAAAGCATCATTGGCTTTGAGGGCATGGATCACATGGGCTACAAAAACTCAACTTTCAGTGTTGAGTATCTGCAGTAAACAATGCACTAAAGCTTAGATTCTACTCTAGCTGATCCTAATGTAGCTGCCTGTGCTGCCTGTAGTAGGCAAGGTAAACAAAGCATCTGCCTTCAGGATACTTTAATGAGCCAGCATGGAAAGCAAAACAAAAAGAAAAAGAGAAAGCAGATAAGCTCACCCATTGACTACCCTCAATATGTAAAAAATAGATCTGATTTTCTGAAATTGTCAGAAAAGTGAAGGCTGGTGAGTAAAAAGTCATCCCTGAATTCATTTTCAAATAAGTCTTCAAACAATTTCTGAAGGCTCATAATATTTTGTTTATGTATGCAAGGCTTAGCTAACCTGGTTGTTTCATTCTACACTTGCACAGTGCTTGTGTTGGATGGATGTTTGTCCAAAGATGTTGAACTGCTCTTCTGTTTTGTGATGTAGGGCCCTATGCCTATTCTTTCTGTGTTATTTCTGCCTTTGGAACTAGGTTTTATGTTAAAAAGGTAATTCCCAGGAACACATCTATTTTGTTAACTGAAGTATGCCTGTAAATCTATATTTATAACCACATTATAAAAGGTGTAACAAGACAGACAACAACAAAATTAGACAACAGCCTTGGTTGGTGCGAGGTGACAAGCTGAACTGAATCAGAACTGGAAGAGAAAGGATCTTATGTTCTCTCAGCTGCATGCGAGGAAGAGAAAAGAGAAAATGCACAAGCCTTTGGGAAGGCTAGTCCCATTTGTCTCACTAAACACGATATTTAGTATGACATCCAAATATAGCAGAGTTCATTCAATATATTCCCCACCATACTGCCATGTGCTGAATATATTGCTCTACAAAGTTGGGCTCAGCATATGGCAGGCATGTAACCATTTTTTTAAAAAAAAAATGGTTATATTTGCAGAGAAAGTACACACTGAGACATCAATCTGAAAAAAAATGCTTGACAAGGCCAGAAGACTAGGTATCTTGCATGAAAGACATTTTGCACAAAATATTGTATTCTTTATATTATACACTGCTTTTTGGACACAAATTAAAAATTCCTGAAATATAAAATACAATACAATAAAACCAACTAACATATAGAAACATTCATAATCTCACATAACAAGGTGAAAACGAAATATATTGTTTTGGCATGAAATCGGCCAAGATTTAGATTCCTGGCAAAAGCATAGGGAATGCCTGCAAAGGCTGCTTATATATTTAGGTCTTAAATTCTGTAACTGAAATAAGACCTAAGAAGAAGGAGGTGACTGGCAAATTAAGCACTCCATTCCCTTATACTTCTTTGCTATGAATTCCTTATATTTGGAAAAAGAAGAAGAAAGATAAGAAGTATATTATTGAAAATCACATAAACCTGAGTGTTAAGCAGCTAATCCGTAAAATACTTAAGGGATTATAGAACATCCCTTCTAGAACATGGCCATATAGCCCGAAAAACCTACAACACCCCAAACCCTAAAATAACTAAAGTGAAAAGTGTGGAAATCCATCTCCCATTTAATCTAGAGGTAAGTGTACACATAAAACATTTATCCATATAAATTATAATCTGACAAACAGGTTGTGCAAAGTAGTATGAACAAACACACAGACACACACAATCCATACTTTGCAGCTTCCCTGAGATCTGTTACATTCCTTGTCTTTCCTCTTCCATCTCTAAAAGTAGTTTGATTGGCCACCGTCAGAACACCATTTTTAGTGGAGAAATCAGGAAAACATCTCTTAAGAACTGTGAAAACAAAGAAGAGATGTGCATTGTTCTCATATAATTCATCCTCGGTTGACATCTTACATTCAGTTCAATAACTGCTTCAAGTGCACTTCTCTTTAAAATTATCTTAGAAATTAAACTAGCATTATGTAAAATTACCCTATTTACTAGAGTCTAATGCTCACCTTTTTTGTCTAAATTACCTTGTCAAAATTATGGTGAGCATTAGATTTGCATCACATGGGAAGCTGCTTCAGGTGCTCCTGGAGCTCCTATTTGAGGGACAACAACTCTAATTTGCCATGTCTCAATGCAACGCAATCCTGGAATTTCTTGTTTGGCTAGGCATCAGGATTCTTTGACTAAAAATGCTCGGGACCTTGTAGAACTACACCCACCAGGATCCCATAGTATTGAATCAAGGGAATTAAAGGAGATTCATTCTACAGCATAGAAGATATTCTTTTTAATGGCTGGAAACTTTGGTGTTCTAACACTTTTGTTTTAATAGAGGGAATCCTAAACAGGCAGCAACTGGAATGGAGGCCCAGGTGGTGCAGTGGGTTAAACCCTTATGCCGGCAAGACTGCTGACTGACATGTCAGTGGTTCGAATCTGATGAGAGTGGGTTGAGCTCCTTCTGTTAGCTCCAGCTCCCTATGTGGGGGAATGAGAGAAGCCTCCCACAAGGATGCTACAAACATCAAACATCCAGGCATCCCCTGGGCAATGTCCTTGTAGACGGCCAATTCCATCACATCAGCTCCTGACCAAAAAAAGCAACTGTAATGCCAAATTACAAAGAGTGTGCTTTTTGCTGCTGTACATTACATTTAGCAGCAAATATTTTGGGGGAGCTTCAGGATGTGAGAACTGAGGTGCACATTTGATTCAATGGTGCATTAGACTTGAGTAAATGCAGGTAATTCTATTTTACTACAGGAAATGCTAATGTGATTGTGACTGTTTTTTTGTACTGTACCAGGAGTGTACAAAGATATACCACATGGTTGTCCTCTCCCTATTCATCCCTGTAAGGCAGCTATTAATATCTATTCATAAGACATGTTTACTGAGGACTAGTGATAGCCCAGGGACACATGGAAATATTCTGTGATCTATCAGGAATTTGAGCCAGATCCCTGTTCTAAGTCCAGCACTTAAACATTACTTCCTTTTATGTGATCAGTGACTACTATAAAAATTGTGCCATTTGAATCAATGTATTTGGAAAAATGAAACAATTAGTGTATTAAATATGAGTAATGAAAACTGGAATTATGCATATATGCACAATACACAAATTAAAGGCCGGGATTTGAGGAACTGGAACATGGCAATCCTATCCTGTGATCTTGATATTATGTGCAAACTAAGCTCACACAATCCCAACAATGTGAATGGACTAATTTTACTAATACTAGACACAATATACTATACAGATACTCAAGCACTTACAAGGTCGACTAGGAACAATCATGGAAGGACAATCTTCATCACGCATAACTTGGGTCACAGACTAGAAATCAAAGGAAAAACATTTGAACGTAACACTTCTAATTTCTTCCTCTCTTAATTTTTTTAAAAGAACACATTTTTATTTTCAGCTCATTTTGAAAATAAACACCCTTCTAAATTATTTGATTGAGGCCTCAGTGGCACATTCAAATGGGAAATGCATGGAACCATGACTCTCCGGCGGCCTACTAACAATGAAAACAGAACAGCAGGCATCAAGACATGCCTTTGAATAGAAAATGCTTCAGCAGGTGGCTTTGTCCTCATCTTAGACAGAAGAAAATTACCTTTTAACACAATTAGCATAATTAACTTAAGGCTGCAATCAGGACTCAGTAAGGGGTTTTCAGTATGAGAAGAATATTATAACAGGCTTTAATTTAAAAAACAAAACAACCAAGTTGCTTCAAACCTATGGTATGAGTGAAAGGTTAATTAATTAACCCCTAAATCCAACATACTTTCACTTATTCCCTCAATCAAAAGATGAAAAAACTCATATGCTTGATCTTGATCTTATATAAAATTAGAACTTGGAAACAATACTTCTTGGATTATAGTTCACAGAATTCCCTGTTCACTGGCCTCACTACATGGTGTTTCCAGGGAATTATACTTCAAAAAATGTACATTTCCAGTCATCTGTCCAAAAGTATATTTGATAATTCTCCCAGTTCTGGGCAAGCACAACTTTATCAGAGACTCTCCTACATTTTCTACTGGTAACCTGCTCTGTAGAAGTGTCTTTGCCACATCCCACCAGGCAAATGGGCATGCTACAAATCAAGGCTCTAACTACCTTCCATTTGATTCTGCTAGAGAGCTGTTCCCATGAATGGCTCTACGGAGAAATGATTGTGGCTAGTTCTATCTCCTTCAGTGTGTTAAACTGTCATGGAAATAAATTCAGGAAGAAAACAGGAAGAAAAGGAACTCATTCTCACCAAGGCCTGGCAAACTTTTTCTCCCTCTCTCCCTTATTCTCTGTGCATTAAAGAATGCAAGACAGGCATTGGGAAGGGGCTGAGAAGTTGTCAAAGAGATATCGGGGAATGTAAAGCGATTGTAGCAATGAAAGGGAAAGGTTTTCAAATGGTTGGGCTAGGATTGGTAGTGAAAAGAATGAATCATCTTTGGCGGCCAAGTGGTAGCCCAAAACTCTGCGTTTTTGGCAAGGGTTGACTGGTTACCCCCCTGTGCCAATTTAGAATTGACACAGGGAGGTGGGCATGATGGGTGGGTGGGATATCACCACTGGTTCCCTGGCCCTCAAACTTTTTTGGCAGGCCTCCAGGCATGTCAGAAGGGTAGCAGGAGTCCCCTTCCTTCCTACAAAGCTCTTTTGATGTGCCAGGAGGCCTTGCTAAGCCTTATGGCTCCATCCAGAGGCCTGTCAGGTAAGTCTGAGGGTGAAACAGGGGGCAAGAAGAGGAAATTGGCCCTGCCATCCCTCCTTCACAGGTTACCAGAGCCCAAAGTGGTGGAATGACTGTGGGAACTACTCCTGGGTTCACACATGCCAAACTCAAGAGGCTGTCCCCAAACCTCCCATACCTGGGAAGGTGCAGACCTTCCTTGAACCATTGATTTCCAGGTTTATTTTGAGTTAAACCATGTTATTCTGAGGTGTCATTTGGATACCTCAACCTAATCCACCCTTGAACCGTATTATATGGCTGTGTAGTTAGAGCCCAAGTGCTGTATTTGTGTGTGTGTGTGAGTGTGTGTGGGTGTGTGTTTGGGGGGGGTATATGTAAGTACATCTCTGTGTGTGGGTAGATTCAGTGAGAGAGGAAGGAAGGAAGATTTTGTGGGACATTATTAAGTGAGATCTGGTTCAAGAACTTTTACTGAATTATGTAGTTAACCATTTGGTACTTAGAACATTTCTCTGCCTTTCCATTTAGTATCTTCAACAGTAGTCAACACATTATTCTTAATCTCTCTGATTTTCTTTCTGTGAGGCAAATATTTTGTTTTGCTCTGTGGGGTCAAATATGTTTTCTGGTATTTAATGCTCAACCTCTACTTTGTACTTGGTTTTTCAGGCAAATGTGCATCTTTTCTGATTACATGACCTCAGGGCAGCCATTCTGTGTATCCAGATGCCTGTAGTAGCTGTTTTGTGACCAGCCATGCAGCCCCATTCCCATAGTGGCCAATTTTGTGATGGAACTACCATAGTTTTTTGAATTTCCAAATGTGTCAATGGCTACAAAGGGATCAAAATCCACCATCTTGCCAATCTCAATCTGTGTCCAAGATTTTGAAATGCCGAGGACCTTATTACATATTTTTTTCCCAGTCATTTAATAAACATTCACTCTCATTGACATCACTGGAAAGAAATTCTGTATCTCAGAATATCACGGCAGAAAATCCCACAGGAAATCCCACAGGAAATTCTGCTTTGAACTGGGTTATCGGAGTCCACACTCAGATAATGTGGGATTTTCTGACTTGATATTCTGGGATATAGGGCTATGTGGGAAGGCCATAGGTCTGTCAGCTTTGTGCTGAAATACCTTTTCATCTCAGGGGAACAAGACAGACCCAGAACTACCCTAAATAGATCTTATTTTCAGTCATACCACTTGAAAAGACACTGTGGGTGCTACAGCGGAGGCAGTAGAGCAGGAATGAGCAACTACACAGAACCCATTTTTGCTTCCATCAGCTGTACTGGAGCTTCCTAACACATCATTTTAGGCTGATTTTAGACTGGTTGCCATTTGAGGTTGATTTTCACAATGAAAGTGATGTGAGGTCTGGGGAAATGGGTTATGGAATTAACAGCTGGGTTTTTCTTTTTCACTTTTGGAACATTTTATATAAAAAATTGCCTGAAAATTAATTCCAAAATAATTTGAGTTTTAAAAGCAAGTTAGATTGTTAAGAGGGTCTATGAGCTCCTTCAGGAATAAGAATATAGCATCAAGAACCACGGTGATGGGCCTCACTTTCCCTATTAAGAAAAATGTTCACAGTATCGAATAGTCCTTCAGTTGTTATCCCCTTAGGAGCTTAGGTTTTCTCCCTTAAAACACTGAACCTGTGTACAGAAATATATATATATATATATATATATATATACACACACACACACACACACACACACACACATACACACACCATTTTATGATACACTACCAATAAAAGATACCAGCCCTTTTACAGCCCTGGCCATACTGAAGTTCACATACCTTGCATGGCAAAAGTATGATAGCCGGGACCCTACACTGGTTGCGCACTGCGGGTCAGAATTCATGAAGGGAACATGTGCATGAGACAGCGCAATGAGTGAGAGACACAGCCACGAGGGAGGGAGGGAGGAGTGGGGTCTACAGTTCACATGTCCTGCCCTCCCAGAGCCCTGGCTACTCCACTGTCAGAAAGTGGGCAGGGGAATGCACAAGAAGAGGGGAAAGGGAGGGGAATCCAGTTCCTGCCGCTCTGTTTGTATTAGGGCCTTGTAAAAACCTTCCCCGGATACCAGCACACTTTCTGCCCTTCGAAGAAAGCAGCCCCGGCACCTGGGAGCAGTCCAAACGGACTTCCTTTCATTAATTCTGACATGCGTTGCACAACCAGTGTATGAGTTCCAGCTATGAGTAGGATCCCAGCTATCATACTTTTGCCACTTGCACCAGGAGTAACACTGCTCTATAACCAATAATGACAAATAAAAAGCAATAGCATATCATATCTATCTATACTTACCTTTCGTGGTTTATTAAAGCCAGGCTTGCAAAACTGTCTGAAGTACTCCCAATAATTTCTGTAGGAAGACTGCATTTCTATGTAGGTTGCAAACCTGTCTGGGCACTTTGAGACACAAAGCTTTAAGGAAAGAAAAATGCACATTGTTTGAAGCCGCTCTGGAGGATGAGAAAGTTATGTTATCAAAGCAGCTAGACAAGAAAAATGTCATCTGTAGAAACACTTCATTTTATCAGATTGCCTGCTTAGCGCAGCACTTAGAAGCAGACATGATCATTTTTCTCTCCCCCTTTGCAATCTCTAGATAAACAACTGAAAAGAGACAGCTGGTTCTTTCTGCACAGCTACAGCATCTTCCCAAGACTTTCTGCCCGTTAGAAACATTTGATGTATACTTCTAATTTTTTTAAAATGAAACACTTGCACCAATATTTTTCCCAAATAAGATTTTTCTTCTTTGCTCCAAACCACCTACAGAGGCATTGGGGATATCAATGCAGTACAGCTTGCTCAGTATCAAATTTATGGCATATGAATCCCAGTCAATAAAGACTGTGATAGTTAAAATGGTTTGCCCTTTTAGAAAGAACCTTGAGTGCAATCCACTTGCAGTTTCCATCGCTCACACAAAAGCAAATTTAGCACTCACTATCTTAAGGTTGAACACAGGTTAAAGCTACACTAGACAGGTTTTATTCTGGCTGTAACTTTTTCTGAAATCATAACACAGAACGTGAAGGCCATACTCTGGTCTCAAGATCTATTTCACTAACAGATTTACTATTGAAATTGGGGCATTTTTCTCTTCCCCAATTTCAATAGTAAATCTGTTAATGAAATAGAATATATAGAATATATAGAATATTTCTAAGGGACCTGTTACATTTTAATGCTCCTTTAAAGAGATATGTTTTGCATCCTTTATGTTACTTGGGGAAATAAAATGGTTTACATGCAATGATTTTATTGTATGTCTGTTTACAATAATTCATTGATCTATAGTCAATGTGTAAAGTTAAATTATTTTAAATCATTTATATCAATTTGACTGGGTTACAGACTATACTAAAATTTCCTATCATATGTCAGCAAGAGAGACAAAGATAACATTCAGAAGAGTAGGTTCTTATGTACCATACTCCTTTGCATCTCCACTTCTGGCAGCAGCCTTCCCTGTAACTGCCTCAAAGGTACTTTCAAGATATGGTGACCCTCTGGAGCGGCAGTCAATGAGTTGCAAGGGGCTGTTACCAGAAGGAAATGTGGCCATTACCAAGCACATATGACCAGAGGCAGTCTATAAAAACACAGAATTGTTATCTTGTACAGCAGTAGACCTATAATGTTGTTAACAAGGTCCCTAGAGCTGTAGCTAATAATCCTTGAAAACACCTGGGGTCAATACTGTAGCACCATAAATTTACTATAAGCAGCACTAGCCAATTACTTATTCTTTTCCATTCTAAAAAGGGAAACGGATAGCTAGGATCTAAGAAGTGATTACTCAGGCCCAAAGGTGGTATAAAGAAGGAAAAATAATGTGTAGAGACAACAGTGAAAATGGTGTCAACTTCTACATGCAAACCAATCCAACTGCTGACTGTCAAAGAAGAACTACGTATTTTCAAGGACTACCTTTTGGAAGGGAAAAAAAGCCCTACAAATCATTCCTGAGAAACATGACTATGGCACAGATATTCACAGAGCAATACAGCCAGTACTCATTTTGACAGCACTCATAATATTTCCTCTTCTCATTCTCTGAAACAGTGGCAAAAGTCACGTTCAAAATTGAAAAGACATTCTCTTTTCCGTCTGACTGGAATGTCTTAAAAATATTAGCTCAGAATTTCTAAGTAAGCATGGAGATGGAAATGTGCATTATTATTTACCTCCATAATATAGAAAGCAAGTGTTAATTCTAACATTTTTCATCTTAAAAGTAGTTACACTTTGTAAAAACACATCAATTCTGAATACCTATTACATACCTGTGTTGTAGGGCACTGTAGGTTTATTAGCACTAAAGGGCTGGCACATTTCAGAATATTAAAATAAAACAAAATTGTCTTGTTCCTAGAAAGGAATGGACATGCAATGATTACCTTATGGCTATTGCAGCAATAATTCACAAAATATATAAATAATATATGCTCCATACATATCATTCAAAAACCACTGCAAAATTCAAGGTGCTCACTGATACTAAGAAGTATAAAACCTCATGTGTTCTTAATTAAGTAGAAAGCAAGTCAAATTCTAGTGAGACTGATATTCTCTATGGAATAACCCAGACTGGTATCAGTTCATTTATATGTCACATTACCTGTATCTCACAGGTAAAGGCCTTTTCACTTGTCAAAGCAATATCTTGTTCAAGCACACACATATAAGAACACACCTCAGTATAAACTAGTTGTTGGTATTTATGTTAATCACAAGATAGCACTAAAATCTATCAAGAATGTGTGCCTGTGGATAAGATATTTTTGTCATTAATGAAAATATAGATTATGCCTGTACTTAAAAAGCATGCGGTAAAGATGACATGTGCTTTGAAAAGCAGAAACAAAGTTAGCACATTAATTTTTGTTTATGTTGCCCAAAGAACAGACAGAGCATAAGACAGACTTCCATTAGTAATTGCACTGTCCTCCTGAAAATGCACATTTCTCCATTCAAAAAGCAAATTAAACTATGTGTGAGGAAGACTGATAGTGTGTTGGGAAGAGAGATAACATATGAATCTATGAACAGTTTGCTGACCATCTGCTTTCTACAGATTCAGTCAATGACTTTGTGAATTGTAAGTACAATTTTTCTTAGTATAATATCTGCCACTGCATAATAGTTGCACCCCGCCCCATTTTTGGTCCCTCAAATTGGTATTTTTGCATTCCTCGAGTAATAGTCGCACCCTTGATTCATTGCCCAAAGTACACACTTCATTCTCTCACTTGCATGCCCTCTTTCAGCTATGAGCCTCACTTGGTTGAGCAAAGTGTTGGCAGAGTGAAGCCCTGTAGCTGGATTTTTTTCATCACGTAATAGGTGCACCCCCATTTTTCACCCCCAATAAGGGATATAAAGTGCACCTTTTATGTAATGAAATACGGTAACATAGGCATAAATTTATTTATTTTATTTATTTGCTATACTTGTATACCGCCGTTTCTCAGCCTAGCCGGCGACTCAACGCAGTTTACAACAACTTATAACAAACAACAGTATACAGTTTAAAAGCATAAAAACACGATCCACAATACATATATCAATAAACAATCCAATTCATCTCTTGACTAAAATCATGATCCAGTTTCGTCGTCCAAATTGCCAGTCCTTCAATCATTACACTTATTGCACTGAACGCCTGCTCGAACATCCAGGTTTTTAGTCTTTTCCGGAAAACCATCAATGAGGGGGCTGATCTTACCTCCATGGGGAGGGCGTTCCATAGCTGCGGGGCCACCACAGAAAAGGCCCTGTCTCTCGTCCCCGCCAGCCGCACCTGTGAAGCAGGCGGGATAGAGAGCAGGGCCTCCCCAGAAGATCTTAGGGTCCTGGTGGGCTGATAGGCCGAGATACGTTCGGATAGGTAAGTTGGGCCAGAACCGTTTAGGGCTTTAAAGGCCAACGCCAGCACTTTAAATTTGAGAAACACTGGTTTAGGGCTTTAAAGGCCAGCGCCAGCACTTTGAATTGAGCCCGGTAGCAGATCGGCAGCCAGTGGAGCTGGTGCAGCAGAGGAGTTGTATGCTCCCTGCGCTCCGCTCCAGTTAGCATCATGGCTGCCGAGCGTTGGACTAATTGGAGCTTCCGGGCTGTCTTCAAAGGCAACCCCACGTAGAGAGCGTTGCAGTAGTCTAAACGGGATGTAACCAGAGCGTGGACTACCGTGGCCAAGTCAGACTTCCCAAGGTACGGGCGCAGTTGGCGCACGAGTTTTAACTGTGCGAATGCTCCCCTGGTCACCGCTGAAACCTGGGGTTCCAGGCTCAACGATGAGTCCAGGATCACACCCAAACTGGGAACCTGTGTCTTCAGGGGGAGTGCGACCCCATCCAACACAGGCTGTAACCCTATACCCTGTTCGGCCTTACGACTGACCAGGAGTACCTCTGTCTTGTCTGGATTCAATTTCAATTTGTTCCCCCATCCAGACCATCACAGCGGCCAAGCACCGGTTCAGGACCTCGACAGCCTCCTTAGTAGCAGGTGGAAAGGAGTGACAGAGTTGGACATCATCCGCGTACAGATGACATCGCACTCCGAAACTCCGGATGATCTCACCCAGCGGCTTCATGTAGATGTTAAACAACATGGGAGACAGTATTGAACCCTGAGGAACCCCACAAGACAAAGGTTGTGGGGTTGAACAGGAGTCTCCCAGTAACACCTTCTGAGACCGGCCCTCGAGGAATGAGCGGAGCCACTGTAAAACAGTCCCTCCAAGACCCATTCCCGCGAGGCGTCCCAGAAGGATACCGTGGTCGACGGTATCGAAGGCCGCTGAGAGGTCGAGCAGCACCAACAGGGACACACTCCCCCTGTCGATCTCCCGACGCAGATCATCCACTAAGGCGACCAAGCTGTCTCGGTACCATGCCCCGGCCTAAAGCCAGACTGTGCCGGATCCAGATAATCCGTGTCTACCAAGAATGCCTGGAGTTGTGAGGCCACCACACGTTCCAGGACTTTGCCCAAAAGGGGGAGATTGGAAACAGGCGAATAGTTGACGAATTGAGTGGGGTCCAGTGATGGTTTTTTCAACAGCGGTTTTATTACAGCTTGCTTTAAGCTGGCTGGAATTTTGCCTTCCCGAAGGGAGGCATTAACCACCACTTTCACCCACTCGGCCAATCCCCCTCTGGCCTCCTTCAGAAGCCAGGATGGGCAGGGGTCTAGGATGCATGTGGTAGCTCTCATTCCTCCAAGCACCTTGTCCACATCCTCGGATTGAACCAATTGAAATGAATCCATCAAAACCGGACAAGCAGATGCTCGTGTTACATCCTCAGAGACTGCCGTTAATATGGTGTCCAGACCAGAGCGGATCAAAGCGACTTTGTCTGCAAAGAACTGAGCAAAGGCTTCACAGCGAACTGCCGAGTCATCAGGGCACCCATCCTGCATGGTGGGTTTTAAAAGGCCTCTGACAACTCGGAACAGTTCAGCCGGACGGTTCTTTGCAGACGCAATAGTAGCCGCAAAGAAAGTCTTCTTTGCGGCTTTTATTGCCGCGGCATATGCCCTTAAAAAGGACACAAACCGTGTTCGATTTGGCTCGCTCGGATTCGAACGCCACATGCTCTCTAGTTCCCTCTTCTTTCGCTTCAACGCTGCCAGCTCCTCAGTGAACCAAGGAGCTGGTTTAGCTCGGCTACTTGAGAGGGGACGTTCTGGAGCGATCGTGTCTATTGCTCTAGCCATCTCCCCATTCCAGAGAGTGACCAGGGCATCGACAGGATCACCAACCAAGGCGGCGGGAAATTCCCCAAGAGCCGTCAGGAATCCATCCGGATCCATAAGCCTCCTGGGGCGGACCAACTTAATGGGTCCTCCACCTCTGCGGAGGTTAGGGGGTGCAGTGAGTCTAAAGCTGACCAGGTGGTGGTCGGTCCATGGCAACGGAGAGATGGATAACTCCTCAACACCGCCACCTTCCTCCCATCCCTGGCAGAAAACCAAGTCCAATGTATGTCCAGCACTGTGGGTGGGGCCAGATACCTGTTGGGACAGCCCCATGGTTGCCATGGCAGACATGAAGTCCTGAGCCGCTCCCGATAAGGCGGTCTCGGCATGGACATTGAAGTCCCCCAGCACAAGCAGCCGCTGGGACTCCAATGCCAGGTCCGAGACCACCCCCGCTAGCTCAGTCAGGGAGTCTGTAGTGCAGCGAGGTGGACGGTACACTAACAGAATCCCTAATCTGTCCCGGTCACCCACCCTCAGGTGGACGCATTCAAAATTTGTTGACTGCGGGATGGGGGCCCTGGTCAGAAGAATGGAATCTCTATAGACCACTGCAACCCCGCCTCCCCGCCCTCCGGATCTTGGCTGGTGCTGCACAGAGAAACCTGGCGGGCAAAGCTGGGTCAGATTCACACCTCCAGCTTCGTCCAGCCAGGTCTCCGTGATGCACGCCAGATCTGCCCGTTCATCCAGGATTAAATCCTGGATGAAGGCTGTTTTGCCATTGACAGATCTGGCGTTCAACAGCACCACCTTCAATCCGGAGGGACCGCCATCCTGGTTACACCAATTTACCGTATCGGGAGACCGATTTGGAATTACTAAAGTTGTTGTACGGTCCCTAGGCCGAATTCGGGGTCTCCTTTTCCCGTATCTCCCCCTCCCCACCACGACTTCTATGGGGGCTCCCCGACCAACGGAACATCCTCCCTCCTCCATGACGCAATTCACATCCATAATTTCACCCCATGCTTCGCTGCTGGTTATCTGATTTGTTACCGATACAATTCGTTCTAGTTTTCCCTTCCATTCATTTCTTACCCGGACTCTGCTATTTCCAGAAATCTCCGATTCACTCCCCTCCTTACCTCCCCCACAAATAATTAACAGAAGGGTTAGCAAGTACCAGGGAATCGGGAACAGCATGAATGGTGGGTGGGTGGTAAACACAATCAACAAAGCTACCTGTTGTGGTTCAGCAACAGCATGATGGGCATGATGGGACTGAGAGTGCAAGTGGGCATGATGAGAATGGGAATACAGATGCAGATGTGGGATTTCAGATTTCTCAGTTTTCTCAGCCACAGTCTGTAGCTAGAGAGAATCCCTTGTTCTCAAGGGAAAGGAATGTGGCTGATAACACTCTCGGTGAAGGTCGGCGCGAGCCGCAGGTGTTGTGAAAAAGTTTACGGATTGCGGCCAAATCTTGAGGCCATCTGCTGGTGGGAAAACTGCTCGTTAGCTGTTCTGTTTAATGTTCATGTTTTGATGTTTTTCCTATAAGAAGACTGCTGGAAAGCTGATTCAGTGTCAGATCCAACTTTGCAAAATGAATTGCTGTACCTTTGGCCCTATGATTTGGGCTTTGGGGTTCGTTTGCTTCC